TTAATAAATTCAGATATATTTATGTTACAAAAAATCACTCTTATTTCTTTTAAAAATCTGTATAAAAACATTTTGTCTCTTTAAATATGTACTATGTAGTATGCATGTAATGTATTTTAATCAATTATTTTTTGCATGTAATTTTTAGAAAATTGTTTTCGATGTTTTAACTGAAAAATACATCTTAACTTGAAAATATTTTTGCAAGCATTGTAATAAATTGTAGTAAAGTTACATTTAGAAACAATAATGTTTAAGAAGCTGCTGTTGAGAATAAGGGTTTGGCTATTAATTATTAGCTGGTAGAGCTATTTTTCTTAAGAATTAAAAACACAATGGTAGAAAGTAACTTATTTTTCAAACATCTACAACAAAATAACGATAAGCTAAATAATTATATATTTCTTTTTAAATCTTTAAATTTAAGTCCATGTAAATTGCCATCATTAAATAAACACTACTTCGAAAAATAACTAAAAGTAGAGTTTACGCATTTACTTGCCGAATCCCGATCTGTTTAATAACTGATACGGTAGTGAACAAAAAGTTAAGTAAAAAGGCTTTTTCAGTCCGTATACATATAAATCCATATAACACTAATGAAGTAGAACAAATACAGCCGGTTCCGATTCTATTTTTCTTGGGTACTCTGCCACTCCGCTTCAAATTCACAAATTCACTGCTTCCAAATCAAACAATTTCAAGGAGTCGGAACTGAAATTTTGAGCTTTAGAGCTTTCAGATGTTTCGTGAACAAAAAACTCCGACTTTTCTACTTATGCAGTTCCTGTCAATATCAAATAGTATGAGAAAGTACAGTTTACGTACCTGTTCTAGTGAACCTAGTGGCCACTCGAGAGGAAGAATTTGGACCAAAATATTTGTACACACGAAAAGCAAGAAATTATTGACTTGCCAGTCCCAGCATATTTAATTTTCAGTGACATTGGCCAGTGTACTTTTCAAGTGCCAGCGTGTGATTTAAAAATTGATCATAAGGGGACTTTGCAGAACTTAATGACACGTTTTTAAAGCTATTTCTATGCTTATCACGAAACTCATATAAATCGAGGGACAAAAATAATACATTATACATTCTCACTTATTTGCTAAAAGTATATATAATTGTAGTATAAATGTAATCTATGATAACTGAAGTTTATAATGTAGATGCACGAATTCTTTATTTTAGTTTGCAAGAGCCTTTTGTTTAAAAAGAACAGTTGAGTTTTGGACAGGTGCCAAACTGATATTTTGAATTTGTTTTTGCAATTTTCTTTGTAAAAGGGATAAGAAATTGGTTAAATCTTTAATTATTTAAGTATTCTAAACATTTAACATGCTTTGATCAAATTTTTCAGTTTCATTTTATTTTCAAAATGTCGTACGAGCTCTGAAATCCATTTGAGCCAGTTACGGTGGAACCACCCATATACATATTTGAGAAAATCGACTTTCTTTTTCATTTTTGAGGTGCCAAAAAGTAAAAAATTTTATTGTTAAGGGAAACCTATTAAATAAATGTTTTCTATTCTGTATAGAGTAAATAATAAGAAAAATTTCTATAAAACAGTATTTAGGTATTGGCTTACTTTTACATCGTTCTTTTTGATTTTTAATCAAATTTAAAAATTAATTTTTTGGCTGTTTTCACACTTTCCATCATAACTTTGCTCTAACGAGGCATAAACAGTCCCTTTGATAATTAAAATGAAGTGTTTGATAAAAGCTTCGATGGGTTTGTTATAATTCCTCAAAAGATGGTCAGCATCAAAAGTTATGAGCATTCAAAACTTGAGACACAATATTCAAATTTTAAAAAAATACTTGACAATTCTGAAATTCTTTTAGTTTTTTGAAACTTTTTTGCTGCAACTGTTTAATTTTCAAAGTATAAATTATAGCCCATCTCAAGAGCTGTAACACAGACACTTGTGACTTGTGGTTTTCACGTTTTTTTACAATCTCACTTGTTACTTAACAACAAACAATTATAGCGAACCGCTGGTACTAATAAAACAATGTGATTAACGTAAGCTGCGCTTTGTTTTGCTTACGTTCTAAAATATGGTCTCCGTATAAAATAATAAGTATTTTTAATTCGAATCACGTAGGATCTAAAAATATTGTCAACTTGATCCATTTTTTTTATTTTTCATACTGTAAGTGCTTGTAACTTTTGGATCAGGAACAAAATCAATATTTGTTCAGCTTTACAGATCCTACAAAATGTGAAAAATTTTTAAACAAATAATTTTTAGGTCACCATGCTCTTTTTTAAACTTTTTA